AGTGCGCAAATGTTTCCACATCCCACGAGTTCGCAGGGTCTACGCCCGAGTGCGTCGAGAATGTCAGCTATGCAAGGTGATACGCGCTGCGCCAGCGCCACCGATGATGGCCCCGCTACCGAAGGCAAGGATGGCAGCCTTCGTTCGCCCGTTCTCTTACATCGGCGTGGACTTTTTCGGGCCGTTCTTCGTCGTTGTAGGGCGCCATCACGAAAAGCGCTGGGGTGTCATCATAACATGTCTTACGGTTCGAGCGATACACCTCGAATTGGCTGCCTCGTTAAACACCAGCTCATGCATCCTAGCTCTGCGGAACTGTTTTGCTCGACGGGGAACTCCAGTAGAAATCAGAAGCGATCGTGGGACGAACTTCGTGGGTGCGGACAAGGAACTTAAAGAGGCGGTAGCGGCATTGGAACAGGACAGGTTCACGGCGGAATTTACCACACCGAGAACAACGTGGCGTTTCAATCCTCCTGCGGCGCCGCATATGGGTGGCTGTTGGGAGCGGCTCATCCAATCTGTGAAAAAGGTACTGTCCCAGGTCAAGTCTCAGCGAGTACCTACGGAGGAGGTACTGAGGAGCTATCTGATTGAGGTAGAGAACATTATCAACAGCCGACCGTTGACCCAGGTACCGGTGGATGATTGTTCATCACCGGCACTTACACCGAACCACTTTCTACTAGGTTCGTCGGACGGATCGAAGCCACTGGTTCCGTATGACGAATGTCCGTTGATGCTGCAACGATCGTGGAAGGCGTCACAGGCGTTGGCAAACTTTTTTTGGAAACGCTGGGTGGCCGAGTACTTGCCAACAATCACACGTCGTACGAAGTGGCATTACCCGGTAAGGCCGATTGCGGTTGGAGAAATTGTCGTCGTGGCCGATCCCAGCTTGCCGAGAAACTGTTGGCCCAAGGGTCGAGTGGTTTCGGTGAAGACATCAGCAGATGGACAGGTTCGGTCAGCGGCAGTTCAGACCACCACTGGACTGTACGAGAGACCTGCGACGAAGCTAGCAGTATTGGACGTAGGTGTAAACAGGAGTGGCTCGGACCAGGGCCCAACCACTGGGGGGGACTGTTGCGTGCACCCTTCGTGCGACGCCACACCTACTAATATATCTCATGGATGCAGCGGCGCCGCGTTGGAGCTGACAGAGGCATAATGGCCATACGGAGCTGTCAATTCGGTGGTGAAAGAAGAAAGTGCAGATCATTGTGGAAGAAAGCTAACAATAGTGTAACACGCGTCTTTAAAAACTACAATTTACTGTTTAATTTACCTAAAATAGCGCATACAATTACCTTAAAACTACTTAAACTAGTGGCTTAGCGTACGGTAGGCAGTTTACTCACACAATAATGAAATAATGAAAATAACTAACATTGAAACGAAACATTGCTATACGTAGGAGGATTTAATTGTTATACGTACAACTGCACATTGAGTCCGCTCTATAATTCGATAATCATCGAGGAAGTTGAGAAAGATTACGTCTCTGAATACCGTTACGAAGATCCGGCTTACAAATCGGAAACCCTCACAAACGGAAATTTTAACCGTTTCACCCAAATATACGAGTTAAAATTACGGAAAAGTGTTTCCCTTTCGTTGCATACGCAACAACCACAATATTTTTAAGGTTGTCTAGGACAATTACCTGCACAAATTGTGTCTTTCACGCACGTTTCAGAAAACCGCACTTTTTGCATCAAATAAAGTTTTCTGTAAAAGTTACTATTAATTAATAAATATTTACTAAACCACCATTTAACTAACCACGATTCTGGCAATAGCCGAACTCTGACTCACTTTTTATTTCTTCCTGGGTATCCAACCGTCTAACGAGTAGATCTGACTTCGACCGTGTTCACTTCAGCGCAGTTGATCTATTAATCCTCCAATTTTACTCTATCCAAACCGAAGTCTAATATAGAGTGGAAAACTAATAATTCTCAATTAAGCATTCAAAACTGCATGCCAAACGCTGTCTATATCTAGAAGAGCAACTCCAGTTGAGCAGCCTTCAGTTTTTTTTTTTTGAACGAATTAAATTGGTAACCCTTAAGAGTTGATGAGCAGTTGAATGCCTATGGCGAAATCAAAACTGCTCATATCCAAAAATGGAGTTCGCATTGATGTGAACGGACCTATTGGACGGTAGCTTAAAGCTTTAGCTGGATTTTTATCCGGCTTCAAAATTGGAACAACTCGTCATTTTGAAAAATTCGGTGAGGGTCAAAACTTGGTTCATTACCATCAACTAGTCAAATTATGCAAATGTCCATGGAATTCCTTAAGGTTAAATCTGAAATTTTGTTTATTTTTTCGCTATATGGCAATTTTGTTCAATAAAAATATTATGTTTAGCACTCCCGGAATTAAGACGTGAATTTCACTGGCAGTTGTTGGATCGTGTTTTCATTATAATTGAAGCTTACGTGATTAAAGTTTATGATTATACCTAAAAACAATACATATTCTTAAGTGGTGCAGATTTACGCCTATAGATCAGTGGATGCCCGTTCGAATCCCGATCATGTGAAAAGATTATTTTTGTCTTACAAATACATTTCAGATTTAAAGTAAACCACAATTATTAGATGTGCATCCTACAAATCTTACTCCGCATCGTTTTGGAAATTCGTCAGAGACAACAAGTGCGATCGTACGACGAGAACCTGCCTGCCGTACGTCTTTCTCAGGAGTACTGACATTATTGAACAACCTGGATGTTTCGAAGGGAGCTGATATAGATGGCTTGCCTCCTTTCATCATCAACATTTGTGCACTACAACTAATGACTTCCGTTACCTTGATATCCAATCAATCTCTATTAAAAGGTAATTTCCCAACCATGTGGAAAACTGATTAAATGGTGCCAATTCACAAAACTGGTAACCTAAATCGCGTAGAAAACTATCGAGGCATTTCGAAACATTGCTGTCTCGGTAAGTTTTTCGAGAAGCTAGTTCACCAATTCTCGATTAATTTTTCGAAGGGACGTATCAGCTTTCGTAAACCATGCATTTGATCGTCGGTTTGGCGTAACTAGTGGCTCACCGACGGATACTAACACCACTATAAGGTAGGGGGAAATTTCCCCTATCTGATGGTAGTGTTAGCATGCGTGGGCGAGGTACCAATTACGTCAAATCGACGATCAAATGCATGGTTTACGATCCCACCGAAAAAGTAATCGAGAATTGTTATACAATGCAGCTAAACCAATAATATGTGAGCTACATCATGGTTTCGTCGAACGGAGATCAACAACGACTAATTTGTTACACCAACACACTGTTCCACGAAGTAGAGGCTCGTCGTCAGGTTGACTCAGTTTATGTAGATTTTTCTAAGGCCTTTGACACAGTTCCACACACTCATAGCAAACTGAGATTCAACGAACACATTTCTACGATAGGCATTCGCTATCCTATCGCTATCCAATTGAATTTATAGTCAACCCATCTTAAAATATATAGTTTAGTGCTATTAATCTCCCTATCAAAATTCAAAATATGCTTTGAAGTCATTGGTACGATGCATACTTAACTACACCACACCTGTGTGGACACCGTATCAATCTAAACAAATCAGCAAGTTACAGTGAGTTCCGAAATATTTCATTCGATTTACTCTCCGTCACCTACCATGGAACGATGGAACACACCTGCCGCCTTATACCTCACGTTGCTTATTACTTGACCTGGAGACGCTGTCTGCCAGACGATTCTTCGACATTCTTAGGGATCGTATCGATTGGCCTGCTCTGCGTCAGCTTATCAACTACAACGCTCCATCTCGTTCACTTCGTACTCATGATGCGCTTTACGTACCTCATCATACAACAAGCTATGCACACACACTACGAAAAAGTCATGTAAATTTCGGTTCCCTGGGACCGACAAAATCATTTTAAATAAAAGATTCTCTTCATCCAAAAGCTTATATTTCGGTTTTAGAACACTTAATTTTACATGAAATGTTTGATTACAATCCATGATTCACATCCAATATTTCTAAGTGTGCACAACAACCCTCTGAGTACATGTATACGTGCTTTTAACACTGTTTATGATCAGTTTGACTTTAACATTAGTAAAAATGTGTTCATATGTGTATATAGAAATTTAGATTAAGTTGTAGTCCGAACGATTACATCGAAGATGAAGAAATAAATAAAGGCTGAACTACAGCTGAAATAGATTGTTATTCAGGCATTAAGCTCATAACTGATATTATTTTGAAGCTTTTGGCTGATTGAATTAACCAAATTCAGATTAAGAGCTTCATACAGAATAACTGAGGTTAAGTAAAACAATTATTAAAACTCAAGCTAAACTGAAATCGTCGAAGGAGCACTTTTGAAGCATAAAATGTTTGCCTGGAAAGACACCTGGAATTCCAACCACGATATTCTGCTTAGCTATACACTTAGAAAAATTAATGTCAATTTAGGTGCTCTGAGAGTGACATATACGAGCGTCTTTTTTGACATAAGTTTGAGTCATAATAGACGCGAAATATAGCACAATCAAACCTTGTTTTCGTCGAGCAACGAACTTTTCAGTCTCGGAACACTTAAAATTACATGACATGATTATTTACATCTCATCGTTTATGTCAAAGATGGATTCCGTCTCGTTATTAGTTATTTCTAAGTGTGTAGCAAAACCGGTTGCTACTAGGCCATTGAGCTCCTTACATCACATCCAATTTCAACGAACGACGATCATCATATTCCGCATGCAACTTTTCGAATGGAATTGATTTAATATATAATGTAATTATGGATACAATATTGATGGGTCCCGAGCTTATACAAATTTTCAAAGTTGGTCACAGTTTTAGAATCGCAGTATTCGAGAATAAATGGTTTGAGGATTTCAATATAAAGAACTGTTCGAATAGCAAATTCACTCTTTCCAGATTGTTTGTAAAGTTATATCAGTTTAAAATAAATATACTACCCACTAAAAATCAACATTTACCTGTACATTCACGGTTACGGTTTTTCCAATCCAAAAAGCAATCACAGAAAAAAAAACAGTACCGATGAAATTATAACTCGTTTTTTCTTCCAACCTCACTCGTGGTATGAACCATTCCCTAGCGCACATACACTCGCACAAAAACGCGCACGCGTTTCAACTTTTCCTTTTTGCTGTTTCTTCTTCCCCCCTTCTCAAACTAATTCCAATCCCCGACTTTGGAGCCGCCACGTCAAAAGTCGAAAAACCACGCGTCGACTACGAACGAACGAATCTCTCCGGCAGGCGAACAACCGAAATTATTCATAAGCACCGCTCGACACTTTCCGTTTGCAACACTTTTTCCATAAATTTTTCATCATTATTTTCACCACTGCTGCTGCTGGTGCTGCTCCTGCTGATGCCACTAGTGCAAGCGATGGTGATGAGCATAGTAGAGGCTTCTAGCCCGGACGGTGTGTGGTTGCGTGGCTCGGTGATGCAACTTTCACATAATGGTACCCGCGCGCCGACACATCGCAGGGCGCATCACTTGACTGACGACGGTGGGGGTGGATATGATGGACCACGAATTTGAATCCTAACACACGGCTCAACGAACGAACGGACGGACTCTTCCGGATGATGACCTAGAAAGGGTGGAAATGAGAGAGAGAGAAAAATTAATGAGTGCACTTTTTTGCGTTCACTCTTGTTCGAACGGGGATTGAACTCACGGTATGAATAATTTATGTGAGCATACGGAATTGCGGTATAATTTTGGGTTCCGGTGAAAGACCAGGCTTCCCGCATAGGAATGGGGCTTTGCTGGCAAATGCATATAGTGAAATATTTTCGACAGAATAGTACGATATTCGATATTGAATAGGTTCCATGATCACCCTTTCTGAAATTACGCTCAAAGCGTTTTGACATGTTATGTCACCAGGACAGGTGTTTCCGATTGATGGTGTAACATTCCACGACATGATTTTGCCTTTCACTTTCGTAATCAGCTTACCTCGTCTTATAACACACGTCATGTGATACTACCATGGACATGGCCTAAGCCTAATCGATTGAACCTGGAAAACGGCTCACATTTCATAGTCCCTCGGTACACATTCCGAGCGCAAACGATACAAGATAAAACAAAAGCATAGCTACTTCCACGAGCACAAAGTTCCTCCCCAGTTAAAGTGCCATAAACATAAATTGACGCAAATTTAAAGCCACACCAAACCAACGCATCTTATCCTTGCTGTCAGCCCGGACAGAATTCGACGAAGAAAACTCTGGAAATAACTCCGCGTTAAAACAGAATATCCATAAATAAAAATAAAACTGCAATATACGCACTTGGTGTTCTCCAGCCACAGAACTCTCTCTCACGCCCAAATAGCCACGGGCAAACTTAGAGTTCCCTTTCCTCACGTTCAACCACGCACTCTTCCTATAACCCCTTGCTCTACCGTCGTCGCATACTGGGGCAGACCAGGCAAACTATTGGACAAAACCTCGTTTTGTTTTTTGACGTCGGACTACGTCTATATGGGGGTACACTTTGTGAAAACCGAAAATGGAACATGTAACAAAATTATGAAAGATTTTGAACGTTAATTACTCAGCTGCTTCTGGACCAATTTCAATAATTTTATACCCAAATGATCAGAAATATTTCTACACATCCGTCAAATCAAAGACTTTATCATTTTTCAAAATGTCACTATTGAAAATTCCACGAATGCGCAACTGTTGCTATGATAATTAAAATGATCACCGATTGACTGCGAAAAGCGATTTCCCTATAAAAGATTTCAAAGTTGAATTCCATCGTGTCTCACCAAACGGTGTTTATTTAATCACCGCGTGGTGAGTGGTGGTGTTCTTCAGTACACAACGAAAGGCTGCTTGCAAGCAGTGACCTGCAGTCCAAATGAGCATCCATAGAAGGAGGAAGAAGCCGCACCTCTATTGATCGAAATCAGTTGCTCTTGGTGAGTCGCTGTGCGCCATCTATGCCAAGCGCGTCACACTCATTCCAAAAACATACAGCTCACCAGCCTCATCTGTGTTTAACATCTTAATAGCTCAGCATTGCTCAAACATCACGACAAAACGGTCCTTTTCAGGACCACCATACATTAGTAAAAGAGTAGTTTTTGGACATTTGTCAAGGTCATCAAGCGGATGTCAGTTCTCATATCAAGATAGAGTAAGGGCGGAAAAGTTTTTGTAAACAATGACTTCTTTCGACGATTTCTTTCAACATCACCATCAGGTAGAGTAAGACTTCCCCTACCCGACGGTAATGTTGGTTTGCGTGGGCATGCCTTGAATTCCTAAAAATCATCAAGAGAAGTCATTGTTTACAAAAGCTGTTTCACCAAATTCCAGCTCTATCTAGATATGTTTAAATCTAACACACCATGTACTTTATGGCAACATTGGGGGTGCTATTTCAAAAACCAAAGTCGGTCGCGGCATGAAAGTGGTCTGATTTGGATGCAGAGATGATGGATTTTAATTCTAAAGGTGAAAGTTAACGCTTTTCCGTTGATACTGAATCTACATCCGTTCAAACCACACCCAAATTCGAAATGCACCAATACCAACAAGCATTGCAAATAAGAAAAATGGGAAGTATTGAAATTTTGAACATATTCGTAAACACAATATTTTTGTATAATTATAATATTATAAACTACTGGTATGACAACTTCAATTCCAAGATTCCAAGTTCAGTGTAGTCCTACAAATGCTCAGAGAAATCTTCCGTAGTTTAGGGAAAGCCTGCCAAACTTCAGCGAAGTCCTGATGAAGTTCAGGAAAGTCCTTCTGAAGTTCAGGGAGGTTCTGCCGATGTTCAGGGAAGTTTTTCCGAACTATAGGAAAGTCCTACCAATGTTCAAAGAACTCCTGCCGAAGTTCAGAGAAATTCTACCGAAGTTCAGGGAAATCCTACTGAAGTTCAGGGAAGGGCTGCCGAAGTTCGGAGAAGTTCTGCCGAAGTGCAGGGAAGGGCTGCTGAAGTTCAGGGAATTCCTTTCATGTCGATTCTCGGAAATCAGGGAAGTCCTGATGAAGTACAGGGAACTCATGCCGAAGATCAGGGAAGGCCTGCCGAACCTCAGGGAAGTCCTGTCGTAGTTCAGGGAAGGCTTGTCAAAGTTCAGAGCTAAAGTTTTTTTTTTACAAACGCAACGCAATGCACGCAAAGAGAAAAAATAAAAGTTTTCGGATTATGACTTTTCAGTGCTTTTTCAGTTTAACGGTGGATCAAAACGCAAGAATGTTTTATGTCCAATGTTTTAGTTTTAAAACTTGGACTTCTTCAGAGTATATAATGTGTTACTGGAGATCCCAAGCCCTGGATCGGAACGTTGACGATTAAAAACTGAAAACTTTTTTTTTTCTGAAAGCCGAAATAAAATGACAAGTCTAGACTTTTCTGAAGTTTACGAAGCGCTTCCCGGAAGATAACTGCCGTGAAGATCTCGGAACTTCAATCATGTTCTCTACGCCTGAATTTCTCAAACTTTTTAAAAAATATGACACAATTTTCCTGAACATAATTGATCTAAGATAAAGTTATTCGATCTATCCTGAGCTCCCACATTTTTTCTGTTGTTTTCAATACTGTAATGCTAATGTAAAGTCGGTAAATGCTGGGTAATGGGCAAAACAGATCCCATTGAGTTTACTAGCCTCTTCCCAGCAACTCCTATCCTTACCTCCCAGTGGTACCGGCCCGGAACTGTGAGCAACCTTAGCGAAGATCGGGTAACCAACCCCGGTGGGAACTTTGGTCATAGGCTGACAGGGAAGGGGGGGGGGGGTGTTTGTTTCGGCAAGTCTGAGCGTCTGTTCTCCAGGAGGAGCGGCTCAAATAGCGTCTGTTCCCCATGTTAGGGGCGGCTGATCTACGTCCAAATGCCAGTGAAGGACTCTAAGCACAACTGTGCACCCTGGTACTCCGAAAAGTTAGGGGGTTGGTGTCAGGCCCTGCGAACCTGCCGTAAAAAAACATTTCAACGGAAAATCAGCAACAGAGGAATACGAACCAAGACCAACGGCAACGACCCCAGCGACGAAATAGGCGACGACCTCAGCGATTGGAAACTCGGCACGTGGAACTGTCGGTCTCTCAATTTCATCGGGAGCACCCGAATACTCGCCAATCTACTGAAGGACCGCGGATTTGGCATCGTAGCGCTGCAGGAGGTGTGTTGGACAGGATCCATGGTGCGAACGTTTAGAGGTAATCATACCATCTACCAGAGTTGCGGCAACACACGCGAGCTGGGCACAGCTTTCATCGTGATGGGCGAAATGCAGAAGCGCGTGATCGGTTGGTGGCCGATCGACGAAAGAATGTGCAGGTTGAGGATCAAGGGCCGATTCTTCAACTTTAGCATATTCAACGTGCACAGCCCTCACTCCGGAAGCACTGATGATAACAAGGAAGCATTTTACGCGCAGCTCGACCGCGAGTACGATCGCTGCCCAAGCCACGACGTTAAGATCATCATAGGAGACCTAAACGCTCAGGTAGGCCAGGAGGAGAAATTCAGACTGACGATTGGAAAGTTCAGCGCCCACCAGCTGACGAACGGGAACGGCCTACGACTCATCGATTTTGCCACCTCCAAGAACATGGCCATACGAAGCACCTTTTTCCAACACAGCCTCCCTTATCGTTACACCTGGAGATCACCAAAGCAGACGGAATAGCAAATCAACCACGTTCTGATTGATGGACGGCACTTCTCCGACATTATCGACGTCAGGACCTATCGTGGCGCTAACATCGACACTGACCACTAGCTGGTGATGGTCAAACTGCGTCATCAACAATGTACGCGTACCGACGCCCGCCACGGTACAACCTAGAACGACTGAAGCAACCGGATGTCACCTTAGCATACGCGCAGAATCTCGAGGCAGCGTTGCCGGATGAGGGCGAACTTGATGTGCCCCCTCTAGAGGACTGCTGGAGTACAGTAAAAGCAGCCATCACCGACGCAGCCGAGAGCACCATCGGCGGAATGAATGGTTCGACGAGGAGTGCAGAGCGATTTTGGAGGAGAAGAAAGCAACGCGGGCGGTAATGCTGCAGCATGGAACCCGACAGAACGTGGAACGGTATAAACAGAAGCGGAAACAGCAGACCCGCATCTTTCGGGAGAAAAAAAAAACGCCACCTGGAAGAAGCGGAGCGCGAGGAAATGGAACTGCTGTGCCGTTCCCAAGAATCACGGAAGTTCTATCAGACGCTCAAAACATCCCGCAACGGCTTCGTGCCGCGAGCCGAAATGTGCAAGGATAAGGACGGGAGCCTCTTGACGGACGGACGTGAGGTGATTGAAAGGTGGAAGCAGCACTTCGATGCCCACCTGAATGGGAAGGAGAACGTAGGCACGGAAGACCAGTGCAATGGAGGAAACGACTACGTCAGTGCAGCACAGGACGGAACTGACCCAACTCCAACGCTGAAGGAAGTTAAGGATGCCATTCAGCAGCTCAAAAACAACAAAGCAGCTGATAAGGATGGTATCGCAGCCGACCTCATCAAGATGGGCCCAGAAAAGTTGGCCACCTGCCTGCACCGGATGATAGTCAGGATCTGGGAAACAGAACAGCTACCGGA